AGGAGGAGGAGGAGGAGGAGGAGGAGGAGGAGGAGGAGGGGGAGGAGGGGAGGAGGGGGAGGAGGGGGAGGAGGGGGGAAGAGGAGCCGAACTGCTGGAGCCGAGCCAGAGCTGCCCGGGGGGGCGCCAGAATAGGGAAACCGTAAAGGTGCAGATGCCGCTTCTCCCCATACCTCTCCTGGGGTGCGTTCTGACCAGAATTCCGAGGCGACTCCACAGGTGGCGACGAGGGCCTCCCAGAAGGCCCGCCAGGGCGAAAACGAATGGAAGGGTGGCGGTAGGGGGATCTTGTCCTCCTCCGATCTGGAAGGCCCCCCGCAGCGAGCATCTGGCCTCCGGGTGCTGCGCCATGCGCATCGCGGCCAGCAGCAGCCAGGCCACCACCGCCGGCTCCTGCCTCCGGCCCAGCGCGGCGCAGAGCGGGGCGGCGACCTGCGCGCACACGGCCGCCACCGTGGCGGCCGAGCCCACGACGCACCGCAGCGCCCTGGCGGCGTGGTACGCCTGCGCCGCGCTGGGGCCCACGAGCGCCGCGGCGAAGGCTGGCGGCGAGCACGGGTGGGCGGCGCGAGAGGGGGGGGCGGCCAGCACGAGGACAAGTCCGGGTGAGGATCCATCGAGAATTTCTGAGATCCGACGGCTCTGGACATCATCCTTGTTGCCTGGGGTGCTCGTGCACAAACCCACACGTGTTGCCTCGGGTTGAGACGAAGCCAGGACGAGGAGAAATCCGGGCGAGGACAAATCGGGAATCTCTGAGACCCGACGGCTCTGGAGGATGCATCGGGCGCCGCGGCCTTCTCAGAGCGTTCCAGAACGCTCTGAGAGCATTCCGGAACGCACTGGAACGGATCTATCCTCGTGCCAGCCCCGTCCGAGTAGGGGCCTCCCAGCTGGGGTCAGAGCACATGGAGTTGGAGGATCGCGCCGCGTCCCCGAGGCATCGCCGACGCATCGTCGACCTTGGCGGTGCATGGGCGACGCCGGCGTGGAGAAAATTACGCTCCAGATCGAGCCGCATCGACGGTGCATCGGCAATGTGGCGCGATCCTCCGACCCCGTCTACTCGGACCCCATCTGGGAGGCCTAGATTCTAAGCAGGCGGTACGCTTCCCTGCGATGCTCCGGGCAATGCAGGTGTTTTGCACCGGGCGGTTTTGCGCCCGCCTTCGGGGCACAGGACCATCACAGATCGATCGGGGTCAGAACATGCGCCTTCCAAGAAGCACCCCTGCCTTCTGAGACGCCTCGAGCCGCAACCGCGCGAAACATCACGACCAGAGCCCCAAGCCCAACCCTCCTGCTGCGTTTTTCGAACCCGGTCGATCTGTGATGGTCTTAGGTCGGGCGTTTCCCCCTACAGGCGGATTTTGGCCGAATAATGCAACATTACCCCAAACATGTTTTAAATCAGAATTCAAATAAAAAAGCGCCCCAAAAACGTCCCAACCTTAATACTTGACTATGTTTGAACATTCCTCCTGTAGAGGGACAGGCCCGACTTACTGATGCTTCCCCAGGCCCGAAGACCGGCGACAGGCTCGCCCGGCGTGGAGAAAATCGGCAGCGTCCGGATCTCAGAGAAGCACCCCGCCCTCTTCGAAGGCCACCCCCTTGATGGGCCAATCTCCCACCACCACTACCACTGACCATAGTACAGGTAGGACAAGGGAGAAGGGAGGATGGGGAGGTCCTCCTCCTCCTCCTCCTCCTCCTCCTCCTGTTCCTGTTCCTCCTCCTGCTCCTCCTCCTCCTCCTCCTCTTCCTCTTCCTCCTACCTACCTATGGTAGTGGTGGTGGGAAATCGGCCCATCACACCTCGCGCCCCCCACCCTCGCGCGCGCCGCCGAGACTGACGAGCGAACAGCACACCCACACCCACGGGGAGGACGGAGTGGGCTGTGAGTGCCAGGGCTGGACCTATAAACGTTGTTCTTCGTTTCGTTGTTCGTTTTGCTCCACCTGTTTTCCCGGACCTCCCTGCCAAAACGAAAAACACGAAGCACAGCCGAAGTCCAGCAAACCAGCGTTGAGGTCCAGCCCTGGTGGGTGCGTGTTGTCGGATGGGGGTCCCCGCTCGAACGGGAGCCTGCCCTAGGGACCGACAGCCTGCACCCATACTCATAGCCAGTCCTCCTCCCTGCGAGCTCCCCTGCAGTCAACGCGTATAAGGATCCGCGATAAGGATGCAAGGGCATTGGAAGGCCATGCCGACGCTTTCGGGAGTTGCTGAGGTGCCCCTGGACCGAGGTGCCCCCAGCTTTTCGCTTCATTTTAATCCTTTCGGAGCCCCTGGGGCCCTCTGGGACTCGTGAGGGGTGCTCTTGAGGCCGTGGGGGCCTCCTGGGAAATCGTGGGGGCACCTTGGGCCATGGGCACGCCTAGCAACACCCGAACACCACGTCGACCCCCAGAGGCCTCGACCAATTCCCCGGGACCGGTCTCTCGCCCCGAGCTGCTTCCCGACGGCCCCGGGGGCCGGCGAGGGACCCCGGAGGCGAGAAGCCTGCCGTCGTGATTGTTTGTTCGGGCCTCGAGGGGGTCTGGCGTAGAAAAAACAAACAACTGCATAAGCATAAACCTTTGGCGCTCCGCGAGGATTCCTTGGATCTGGCACTGGACCTCCCGTCCCTGGCGCGCGGAGCGCACCAGGGGCAGCGCCAGAGGCGCCGCCAGGGGGGGGGGGGGGCGGGCCAGGTGCCGATCCGAGAAATTCGCGCGGAGCGCCGAAAGTTGATGTTTATACCTTTTGTTCTACTCCAGACCCCCTCGAGGCCTGAACAAAAAATCATGATGGCAAGTTTCTCGTCATGTTCGGCCGGCCCTTGGGGCCGTCAGAAAGCAACTCGGGGCGAGGAATCCGTCCCAGGGAAGGGGTCGAGACCTCTGGGGGTCGACGTTGTGCCTTCTTTTACCAGCCTGGAACATATCCCCATCCCTGCGCTGGGCATCGCCTGACCACAATGCCGATCTTAGGGCGTCCCTCTGTTTCTGAGGGTGCATTCCTAAGATTGTCATGGCTTTTGGCGTGTCAATTTTAGGGATAGGGGTAAGCTCGAGGCTGGTGATTCTTCTTCGATGGGCCCTTCGCTCGTCGCAGCTGGCGCGCAGGGCCTCCGCGTCCGCGGCGAGCGCCAGCCGCGCGGCGTCCGTGGCGGCGAGCCCGCGCATGCCCTCGTCGGGCAGGCCCTCTGCCGCCACCGAGCGGCGCAGCTCGGCCATGTCCACCCGCGAGGCGGGCGGCGGCGACGGCGGCGGGCTCCTCTCGGGCGTTGCCAGAACTGGGTTCTTAGACCCCCTCGAGTCATGAAGAAATCACGACGGGAAGTTTTTGGCTATGTTCTGCCTCTGGGGGCCCTCACCGGGCCTCGAGACCGTCAGAAAACGATTCAAGACGAAAAACCGATCCCCAAGAATGGGTCCGGACCTCCGGAGGTCGCGTGTTGAAAAAATCATGACGTCGGGGGTCTGGGTTTAGTGGGAGCTGGTTTAGTGATGGGTACCGGGGTACGCCCCCCCGCCACGTTCCACCGTTCCACTAACCGGAAGTGCCGTCACCCGAAAAAACACCAGCTACGGCAGAACTGGTTTAGTGATTCTGGCCAACTTAGGGGGCTCCGGGGCCCTACCACTAACCAGGTCCCCTTACCTGGGGTCCTGGCTATACCCGATCCTCGGGAGGGGCCCGATGGGCAGCAGGAATCCGTGTGGCTATACAGCAGGCCCCCTCGAGTCTGAAAAAACATCACGACGGCAGGTGTTTGGCTACTTTCGGCCCCTGGGGGCCCTCGCTGGGCCTCGGGGCCCTCACCGGATCTCGGCTCAGGATGCAGAACCGGTCCCGGGGACGGGTGTGGACCTCTGGAGGTCGCGTCATCAAACAAATCATGACGTCGCGGGTCTGGGAAATGGGGGGGGGCGAGAAGCGAGAGATGAGGGGGCAGCGAGGAGGTCAATGCAGTAGGAATCCACTCGGCTAGCAGCAAGACTGACCCTGGGCAAGAGCGACCCGTGGTTCGCGACTGTCGGGGGGCGCGGGGTGAGGGGGGAGGGGGCGGCAAACCCGAGCGCGCAGGCCGCTGCCATCGCATCGCGTTCGGCCATCTGGGGGCCCCAGTGTGCCCGCACCACAGGTCAAGGGCGAAGGGTTGCTCCTTGCGTGTAGTCGATCCGATACACGTTGGTTGGAAGGGGTAGGTGCAAACATTCAATATGAAGGCCGTTCAAGTCGATCGGGCTCAGGCCCTCCCAGAGAACTACAAAACGCAGCGCAAGCAGGTCGATGAGTGGAGTAGGAAGGCGCTTGAAGTAGATGGGGATCTGGGAATCCAAACATACCTACGTACATCCAACGACCAGTGTGCTAGACGAAGCCAGGACAAGGATAACATCGGGTGAGCATGAATCGAGACTCTCTCAGATTGAGATCTGGCGGCTCTGGAAGATGTCTCGCACGCTGCGGCCATCTCAGAGCGTTCTGGAACGCTCTGGAACGGATCTGTCCTCGTCTTAGCCCCGTCCGAGGTATACAATCGGAATCCACAGTGCATCGGACATCGGACACCGGCATGCAGTCGAGGTGCCGCGGGGGCCCCGCAGGTGGGCGCCGGGGCGCCGCTCTGACTGACGGTGAACGGCGGTGAATCAGAAGCATGGCGGTGAATCCACAGACGGGCGCAACGTTTACCATTCCGAGCTCCTTGGACCAAGAAGAACGAAATAACTGCACGAGCATCAGCTTTTGGAGGCCCGCCCGAGGTTCTTGGATTCGCGCCGGACCCCCCCTCCCTGGCGCGCGGAGCGCGCCAGAGCGGCGCCAGAGGAGCCGCCAGGGAGGCCCAGCGCCGACGTGAGAAATCCGCGCGGAGCTCCAAGAGTGGATGCGAGACCCTTGGAAGCCCCATGTCCCATGTCGACCTCTGTGGACGTCAACATTGGCTCAGGATGGGCCGAAGAAGCAGGGACGCAAGTGGTGTGCGTGTTTTCCACCACCACCACCACAAGTTGGAGGGGTAAGGGGTCCTCCTCCTCCTCCTCCTCCTCCTCCTCCTCCTCGTCTTCGTCCTCCTCCTCGTCCTCCTCCCCCTTCCCCCCTCCAACGTATAGTGGTGGTAACGGAAAACAAGCCCATGAGCAAGGGTGGCCTTGACAACGCAGGATTTTGAACTGGACACAACACGTCGCCTGGCCTTCCAGAGCTCGGCGTCTAGACGCCCCAGCTGCCCCACCTTTGAGCAGGGACCGGCCGTCCCAGCATTCCTGAGGCCCACCACGAAATTTCCCTACAACCCCCAAGTGCTCCGAAAACAGAAACCCTGTTCTCAGACCATAAACACGATGCGTCAAAAAGAAGACAGACTCAGCCAGAAATTGTCTGAGAACGTGTCGCTGAAACGCCGCTGAAACCACAAGGGGTTCTTAGAACATGCTTTGGTGGGCCTACAAGCGAGCCAAGACGCCTCGACACAGCTTCTAGGTTGGGCGTGCTCCCCCTACAAGCGGATTTTGACGGACAAATGAAAACGCACTCCAATAATATTCAAACACATTCAAACATATTCGAACATACCAGCAACATCGTCCCCAAACTAAGTTTTGACTATGGTTGGATTCCTTCTGTAGAAAGACACACCCGACTTAACACTGCTTGAAACCTGCAAGACGCTCCGACAAACGGCGTGGCGCATGCATTGAACCCCTCCGACTCCTGACCGCGTGCATCTCGCCGGAGAGGGGAGCCGCGAAAGACAGGCGCGGGAGGTGGAGAGCGGGAAGGGAAAGAAGGCGAGAGGAGGAGGAGGAGGAGGAGGAGGAGGAGGAGGAGGAGGAAGCCTTGGAAGTTGGGGTCACCTCTGTCTCGACAACTGAGACGAGGCTGCTCGCCTGGAGCTCGAGCTATTCGCTGCTGGCTAGATGATTCGGCATTGCAGAGGGATGCCTGCGGGACCCATGGCCTATTGAGCCTCTCGGGCCCGCTTCGACACTTGGCCGATTCCCTCCTACGTTGACACTTGGCCGATTCCCTCCTACGTTTACAACTCTGGACGGGTGAAAGGTTGTCACACTATGGTGCATCCCCCTCACGCTCGGGCGAGGCTCTGAAACTCCAAAAGGTTGTTGGGAAACCTCGGCGCGTCAGAATTGCTGCAAAGGTAGCTGCTCCCCACTCCGAACCCCCCCATCCCGCCCCCCCACCCGCCAGTTGGTTTTTGGGCGAAGCCCACTCAAAAACAAAAAAAAACAGTCAGACTAGATAAACTCCGAGAGTCCCTCAACATCGCCTCAAGACACCAGGCCAGGCGCCAGGAGAGGGGACGGGGACCTGGGTCCAGGGGCCCAGCGGGGTCGTAGCGACGAGAACGGAACGGGCGAGGCCTGCATCCTCTGTCAGACAAATCCACTGCTCAGCGCCGCGAACAAATCCTCGTCCTGTCTCCGCACGGGCCTCTTGGCCCTCGGCTAGGTTTGCACACTCTCAGCCGCGCCGAAAAAAACACAAACGAACAAAAAAAACAAATCATCCCCACTTGTCTGGGGGTAGAATCCCTCCTAGGCGCTTCAACAATTCCGCTGCCCTCACGCTGCCTTGTTGCGCCTGTCGGCGCGGCCCTGCCATATCTACGCCGTGGTTTGCCGCTGGCGGACGGACTTCTGAACCTGCCTCTCGAGCGCAGCGGGGGGAGGCGCCCCCGCGATGGCCGTTCCGCCCGCGGCCTTCATCGCTGTGTAGATCATGCTGCGACTCTGCGGGATGCTGAGGGCGTCGAACTTCAGAGGCCCCTGGGTTTTCTTTTTTTGGATCTGGTTGACTTCGGCCTCGTTCTCCGACGTGAACGGTGCCATGCCCAGGGGGTTCATCATGACGTGTACTTGTCCAGCGCTCTGATTGCCCCTGCTCCGCGCAGGCCTTCTTGATGCGCAAGTGCCTCGCCAAGTCCGCCAGCTCGTCGTATCCCATCGCGTCCATGACCAGGATGAGCTTCTTCATGTCGCTCTTGATCGTGGTCGGCAGGTTGGCCGCTCTGCCAAGCGACCCCAGGAACCCCGCTGCAACGCGCGCGCACGGGAAGCCCATGTCTCTCTCGCCCGCCCGGCCGCGCTCGGCGCATCTGGCCCCTGCCCCCGACCCCGCCAACATCGCTGGATGCTCGCCGCCCTCCACCGGGGAGAAATCCCAGAGACTGCCTGAGGTGGCCCGCATCTGCTGCGCGTTGTTGAGAGTCAGCTTTTCCATGGCGAGTAGCTCCTCGCCGCTCCCCTCGCAGCCATCGGACTTGCCACTCTGCTTCTTCGGCTCGCCACGGGCCGTCTTGCGCGCTGGCTGCGGCGCGCTTCCGTCCGAGGGTCCTCTCGCTCGACGTCCGTCTGTCGCGACTCTCCAGCCCTGCGCCATCTGGCCCTTCGGCGCGCGTGCGAACGCGCTCAAGATGGTCGTTCAGTTCGGTATGTTCTGCGGCGCAGTAGCCGCGCACGCACGCATGCTGCTCATATGGGCCGAGAAGCAAAAGACGTAAAGCGAGTGGGGCAGGCACGCGGCACTTGCTTGTCCATAGCGTGGCAACGTCGCAAGCATGACGCGCACGAGGCAAAGGCTGTTTTGCACCAGGGACATACGTTCGTGCAAATGATCATGGGGCGCATGTCCCTCATATGGTGCGCGTGTGTGATGCGCGCCGTCTAACGTTTAAGTGTTTGAAACGTGCTGCCACAAAGGGGTCCCGTCTTCTTCCTCATGCGTACAGATCCATTAGTCGATAACTGTGCTGTGCTCGCTGTTCGCGCCGTCGTGTTCGCGCGTCGCTGCGTGCTGGGCGCCCCCCCCCCCCCCCCTATCTCCTCCGACGCAATATGCCCAGCCAACCTCTGCGCCCGTAACATTCTAGCTGCACTTGTGGGGTGAGGAGGCCCCCGTGCTTGGAGATGTCTACTTTGGAGAAAGTGAGGGCGAGGCTCCACGTGGTAAAAACGCGGAGAACGCTTTCGCGCTCGCGCCATGCATCTCCGAACGCACTGTCCAGCGCGGCCAATGCCAGCGGGTCTTGCTTGCACTGCCGCGCCCACGGTACACTGCGCTGCGCTGGCCGCCCTCCAAATTGGAGACGAGGCCGCCCAAGCTGACGGTCGAGCTCCATGGTGCCGGAAATGGCCACGAGCACCTGCATATGGTTCTCGGGCTCTCGCGCCATGGCCTGGTACCAGCGCAAGCGCTGGGCGCGATTTTCAGTGGCTGTGCCACATGCGTCCCAATATTTGAAAACCTGCGCATTGCTGAGTGGACGGACACGGTCTCCGCACTATTGCCTAGCTCCTCCATGCATCAAACACCTGAGTAACTTGATGAGAGTGGCGCCCAGCGCATTGGTAAACCCTGGCGGCAGCGCGAAGGCCGTCAATCCCGCGATGGCCGCGCTGTGCACGAAACAAGGACAAAGTGTCCTCAACTGCCTGCGATGCAGCGGCGGATGTCAAACTGCGCCTAGAGATCGCCAAGCTGCTCGAGCCCCTCGGGTTCTGCTTTTGAGTTCGGTTCTCAGCTTGCCGTCGAAGCTGAGCACGGGCCCGAGGACGCGGCTTTCTCGGCAGACTCCCCCCTGGAAGAAACGGTTTTTAGCGAGCTCCTTGGCGGTCTGGGGCGAGCCGTCCCCACTCAAGGCAATGATGCGGTTAGTCTTGTCTGCGTTCAAATGGTGCTCGTTAGCGTGTCTATGTGCTTGCAGCCTTTCTGTTGCAGGATTCAACTGCCGTGCGATGTACTTGCCATTGGGTGCGCATGCGTGTATATGTACTCTCGTTACGCCGTCTACGAAGAGGCCCATCCCTATGTCCGCCTGCCCCCCCCCCCCCCCACCAATTACCGAGGGACCTCGAAGCCAACTATCGCTAATAGCAGATCCGGCTAATTCATCATTCAAACTAGCAACTGTCGGTGAGTATACGTCTACGAAATCCCCCGCTGCCATGGGGTGCCCCATGGTGGTGCCTATGTGGGGAAGGAGGTCTATCTCGCCGTCGATCCCCGTGGCATGGATGCTGGTCATGTCGACTGCCTGGCCCAGAAGCCCGACGTTTCTGCGCGCCCACGCTGTGCGTGATGTTCTCCCAGTGTTTCCCTCTTGGTGCAGGCGAAGGCGTTCGATCCGTCGAAGTTCGGGGCAGCGTGGCTAAGCTTCCCACCTCTGCATCTCCACATAGCCGCCAAAAGAGACAAGATGCACCATTCCCTCCTCCGTCCTCGCAGTCCTCTGCGGGCGCAATCAGGGGGCTCGGGTCGACGAGGAACTTTGCGGGGGCGGCAGAATAGCGACGCGCCGTTCGCGTCGAAAGAATGCAGGGCCCGTCGCCCCTTAATGCCTGGCTTGCCGTTGTTCATGGCCTGCGCGAACGACTGCGAGCGGAGCGGCGCGAGCGGAGCGTATCCGACTATCCTAATGAGAGCGAGCAAAGCATTGCAACGCATGCTGGAAGTCTCTGGCGCGTAGGTCCTACGCTTTGAACCCGATCTGCCCCATCCTGTCGCTGCGCACTCTCTAAGATCCGGCTGTCGATGCAGATGTGGCAAAAAAACTGCGATCGGTGATCCACTCTGTCCAGTTTAATATAGTGCGCTGCGTTCCTCCTTCCTGCGGGGCACAGGCCAATCCCAGTTCCAATTCTGTCGTGGTCATCGTCTGCCTGGCTGAGAACAGGAACTTCTTTTTTGGGCCCTTGCCAGTGCCCGAGAGTGCAACGCGGATGTGGTGCATTACTGCCATTTTGCCACTCCGCCAGGCCTTCGTGATCTCGTTGGCTAGCGACGCCGTTTCCTCAGATTTCTGCTGTCTGCGAAGCCCCCACATGCGGCGAGTCATAACCTTCAAAGGCCTTGGTGCCCGTGCGATGTAGTTGCTCTCGCAGGTCGCCACGCCCTCTGATGAGTTGCATTCTCTGCTCACGCATGTGCTCGTAATCGATAACCGCGTTCGCATGATTCGGGAAGTGTTATGTCATGCTGTCGCGAATGCATCCCGAGAGAAGGCCCCACGCTGCTTGCACGTCGCCACGGTCCCAAATCTGTCCCCAGTCATATTATATAGTCTGTTGTGCACAACCTTCGGTTTTCTGAAGAAGCCCTTGCCGTCGGTGACTTCTGGGATAGAGCGCCATCATCGCATCTCTAGCCGCAGGTGGTGTGAAATGCGCCTGGTGGGCTCTGCGCACCCCGATGTCCATCCGCACAAATACTGGTACGTGATCGTGTAAATATGTGGGTGCAAACTTTTGCAGCCTCCGTCCCAGCCCCTGTAAGGTGCTCAGTCTCGTGATTCGGGGGACGGCTGTCTGCGGCATGATGATGTGGTCGATATTACGTATGTGCGCGCCCTGGAAGCAGGTAGCCCCTGATGTCCCAAATGTGTCAGCGACCGCCATGTAATTTCCTTCCGGGAACTCTCGTATAATATTAGAAACTGTGCCTCCCAATGCTGGCTCATGTATTCAGACCTCGTCGCTGATCCGTACGTACTTCCTGCCCGTGGCGTCCGTGCGGGCCCCAAATGCGCAGTTTAGGTATCCCACGACCAACGGTAAGCAATTGCTGCCCATGCGGCCCATCTCATCCTGTATCCAACCAAGCGCAGTTTTGACTGTGTTGCGCAAAAATGCTGCAGCAGCTCCTCTCGGTGGTAAATAAATGACACACGCACACACTGCAAGACTCATCCTGCCCAAATGGAACTTGACCAAACCCAATATCCCAGATAATCCACGTGACTTTGGCGAGACATGAATAATGGACACGTTGCCGCTGAGCTTCTCGCCGTACAATACTGCTAAGCCACAGCTTCGATTTGTAAATTTGTTTTTCCCGTCATCCCAAGTGTATAGCTTTGTGATGAGAAAATTGGCACTGCGTGATGTATGTCTCGATGTGAGCTGCTTTGCCAGTGCCGATGCAGATGACCAGGTCGTTGTTCGCTGTGTTGTCAAAAATCTCCTCGAGGCGCGCATGCTCCGCGCTCTGCACGCGATGGAAGATAATCTTCACTATAAGAAACCAACTCAGAGGTACTGTGCCCATGCAAATATCTGGCCCGAGACGGCCCAACCCCGCTGCGCTGCCCTGGGACGTACTGCTCACATGGGGCTCAATGCGCAGATGCACGGTCGCAGCTGAGACGGGTCTTTGGCCAAAGTTGTTCCTGAAGGACGAGGAGGAGGAGGAGGAGGAGGAGGGGGGAAGGAGGAGGAGGAGAAGAAGGAGGAGGAGGAGAGGGAAGATGAGGGGGATGAGGAGGAGGAGGAAAAGGCGGAGGAGGAGGAAAGAGAGGCGGAGGAGAGAGGAGGAGAGAGGAGGAGAGAGGAGGAGGAGGAGAAGGAGGAGGAGGAGGAGGAGGAGGACGAGGAGGAGGAGGAGGAGGAGAGGAGGAGGAGGAGGAGGAGGAGGAGGAGGAGGGAGGAGGGAGAGGAGGAGAGAGGAGGAGAGAGGAGAAGAGAGGAGGAGGGAGGAGGAGGAGGAGGAGGAGGAGGAGGAGGAGAGAGGAGGAGGAGGAGGAGGAGGAGGAGGAGGAGGAGGCGAGAGGAGGGATGCGCCTGCAGTCATTGTCAGGAGTTTTTGGATGGTTAGCGTGTCGTTACGGCGGCCCGGCAGCACGCTACTATGCTTTGCGAGAAGATGGCGTATCGCTCCGCTCCGCGGGGTGGAAGGTCGGCTGATTCTCGGGACGCTGACGCTGGGGGAGTGGTACTGTGAATCGCGTGTCGCACCGGGGCGCGGTGGGCCAGGACCGGCGGAGTGACGCTCGGTTCGAAAGTTCCCGACCCTCCTGCTGCGGGGTCGTGTCCCAGGGACCACGGGGAGCGGTGGACATGTATTTCTGCCCGGCCACGCCTGCGGGCAGCTATTCACATCCACCACTCCTCAAGCAAGATCCCACGGCACGACTCCGAAGCGGTAGATACGGACTAATCACGGCCAGTTCTGGTCCCTGTCGTGACGACTTGTGCGGTGGTTCCTGCCGCCGGGCCGGGCGGATCGTTCAACCCCGAGCGATCGCGGCTCTTCGAGAGCGCAGGTCGTTCGAGATCGGCCGACTCTAAGCCACTGGCGGCGTTCAGCCTTGAGAACGCCCGCGCTGGGCTTGCCGCCGCGTCAACGTGGCGCGAACCCACCGTATTTCGCCCGCTCTGGATGCCCTTGATCCCTCACAACTTGGCATCCCTCCTGGAAGGGGCGCATCCTGCACGCTTCTGCCGGAGGCTGCCGAGCCTCTGCCGTCGCACGCGCACTCGGGCTGTCCCCGCCGTCCTGCGCCGGCCTCCTGCCCGAGGGCGACATGGGATGGCGCTGTCCTGTAGACCCAGGCGAGTTTACTTGCATGGCATTTCGCGCGCCCCCACCCACCCTACCCCACCCCACCCACCACCACCCCCCTCCTTCCTCCCCCTCTCCGCCCCTCCGCCGCCTTTTCAAACAGCGCTGGGCCGCCAAGGCGTGCACGTGAGCCCCGACTGGCGTGCAGCCCAGATTTGCTTTCGTGCCTCGCCACGCCCACCCCCCCCCTCATCGAGGATAGAATAAATCCTAAACCTAATAACATAGTGAAGACGTGGCCTCACTGAGGTCCCCGTTCGCGCTTTAGAGCTCATCGAGCTGGGCGGTTTGGTTTGACACACCTGTAGAAAGACCCTCTATCCCTAATGTTCCTGGCCCTCCTAAGTTAAGTCGCCTCCCGAAGGGTGAGGGGTCCTTGCATGCCTGATCCCCCCCCTCCCCCCCACGCAAGCAAACTTACAGGACTCTGACATGGAAAATTAGCCCTGTCAGATCCCGGACCCCTCGAGGGCGAGGCCGGCCTTGGAGCTGCCCCTCCGAACTGGAGAGCGGGCGCGGTTCCGAGAACACCCAAAAGGCGGCACTGGAAGTGCCCGGGCCCCCATCGCGGGGAGGGGGGGGAGGGGGTGGGGGAGCAAAGGCAACATCAATTAGAAGAAGAATAATAAGCATACTAATAAGAAGCAACACGTAACCGAGTGTAAGATAAACTGTTAGGACTCTGCGCGGATCTGGGGGATCTGAGCTGGGCGCCCCTGCCTGGAGCGCGGAGCGTGCGAGGGGCGGCGCAGAGGCGCCGCCAGGGGGTCCCAACGTAGATCCAAGAAATCCGCGCGGCCCGCCAACAATGTATGCCTATGCCGTTCTATATTCTTCGGCCAATGGCACGCCGCTGTGGGGGGGAAACATCAGCGCGGTACTGGTGAAGAAACAGTGCACGTCGTTCACTTCTCATCGTGCTCATTTCTGATTGTGCTCGTTTCTCGTTGTTCCTGGCCCCCTAGTGGCCAGGAAGAGGCCCAGGATAGAACAATTAGAAATGAAAGGATCTTGCCCCCCCGAGAAATCAAAGCATTTTCGAAGAATTCGAAACGAGCAACGTGTACGTCTTCGCACACGGAGCGAGAAGGATAGTAACACGCTGACGGGCTCCCGGCGTGGACGGTTCATGCATACTCGTCCCCCTCGGGAGGAAGGGGAACGAGGAGGAGGAGGTGGAGGAGGAAGAGGAGGAGGAGGTGGAGGACCCCCTCCCCCTCCAACTTATGGTGGTGGTGGTGGTGGAAAACAAGCCCGTTAATCGCTTAGAGAAACAACCACAAACTGAATGTTGCTCGCCACTCGAGGCGCCTGGGAGCCGCTCCCAGGGCCCGACAACAGAACGGCTCGGGATGAAAAACGGGTTCCGAGGCAAAAGTCGAGACCATCTGTTCACAGATGTTGTGGGTACTCGTCTTCCCCCCCCCCGCTTCCCGTAATTTCCTGCGTCTTCCTGGAAATCGGCGATTCCCTGCATCTATGCTCGAAGATGGACGAAAAGGATGAGGAGGAGAAGGAGGAGGCGGAGGAGGAGTTGGACGAAGAGGAGGAGGAGGAGAAGGAGGAGGAGGATGAGGAGGAGTTGGACGAAGAGAAGGAGGAGGAGGAGGAGGACGAGGGAGAGGAGGAGGAGGAGGAGGAGGAGGAGGAGGAGGTGGAGGAGTTGGACGAAGAGGAGGCGGAGGAGGAGGAGGAGGAGGAGAAGAGGAGAAGGAGAAGGAGGAGATTGGCCGAAGAGGAGGAGGAGGACGAGGGAGGAGGAGGAGGAGTTGGACGAAGAGGAGGAGGAGGAGGGGGAGGAGGAGGAGATTGGACGAGAGGAAGAGAGGAGGAGGAGGAGGCGGAGGAGGAGGCGGAGGCGGAGGAGAAGATGGACGAAGAGGAGGAGGAGGAGGAGGAGGAGGAGGAATTGGACGAAGAGGAAGAGGAGGAGGAGGAGGCGGAGGAGTTGGACGAAGAGGAGGAGGAGGAGGAGGAGGAGGAGGAATTGGACGAAGAGGAAGAGGAGGAGGAGGAGGCGGAGGAGGAGGCGGAGGCGGAGGAGGAGATGGACGAGGAGGAGGAGGAGGAGGAGGAGGAGGAGGAGGAGGATAAGGAGGAGTTGGACGAAGAGGAGGAGCGGCGGCCAGAGGCGCGAGGGCCGCCGACGGGGCGCCGCTCGAGAGGTACGGGCGCGGCGTGTGGCGGGAGCCCCGGCGGCGGCGTCCCCCCCCCTCCCAGCGCCGCCGAGGAGCGGGCGCGCGGAGGAGCACGGCCTCGGCCGGGGGAGGAGAAGGCACCAATGGAGTACCCCCTGCGAAATGCTCAAGAAATCATGGGTTAAGAAATTCATCGTCCCAGAACTTGAACTAAAACCCAACATTTCTATCACAATCTTAGGATTTACATTGAAACATTAAGAATAATCGAGCCTCTGGCCGAAAACTTAGGTTTTCTTAAGCATCGCCTAAGGTGTATCGTGTAACCGATCCCCATCCCCAGCGGCGTGGCCTGGGCCCCACTGGCCGATTTGGCCCCCCACGATGGGGATACAGGTCGTTCCCTGCGGGTTTCGAGGGGTGTATCCCCGACTGGGGAGGTAATGTGGTGGGGGTCTCGGAGGGTATGGGGATGGGGATGGGTTAAACGATACCGACAAATACCGTCGAGGC